CAAAGTGCGGCAAAGGCGTCGCCGCATGGTAGCTTGCGCTGTCAGCCAATTTGCATGGGTCGCTGCTTGGGCGAATCGCTGAGAGGCGAGAGGCGAGAGGCGAGAGACGAGAGACGCACGAGGAACAGCGCACCGCACGCCTCGCAGCCGGCCCGACAATAGGCAGACGAGCAGGAGCAGGCTTTCTTGCTTCGACACTTTTTGCAATCTAAAGCGCAGCGTTATGCGGCCAGCACGCAGCGCGTGTCGCTCTTCTCCGGAGCCGGTCGAACCAGTTGCAGCGCAGCGCAGGACTCGACTGGACTAGTAGGACCCACGCTCCCGTCCTCGTCCGCGTGACGCATCTCGCGCTCCATCTCACGCAAGCCTCGCTCGATGATCTTGCGCGTCGGTCGCAGGCGTGCGATGCAAGACTGGGGACAGATGGCCCGGACGATGCTTCTCGCGCCTCCTGCAGAGTTGCACGCGAGAGAGGGTCGCTGCTGCGCTGTCTGTTCGAGCAACGCTGGCTCCGACGAGGCGCAGAGGTGGAGATGGACCTTTGAACAATTCGCCTTGGCTGGAACATGGGAAAGGTTCTTGTACTCGCACTGCTTGGGCGTCGTGCAAGTTCGCTGCTGTCTCGCAGGTGTGAAGAAGAGCACTGCCCACTCATGACTGCTCCAGAACTTCTATCCTGGCAGGTAGTGGCTCTACGTGGCGGGTGTATGGTGCGGCAAGACGAGGAGCGTGGCCGAGTGGTGCTTTGCGTGCCCTCCCTTCATCAGTCACGAGTGTTGGCTAAACTCTTCCGAGCCAAACGCTCAGCGGCATCATTCAATTGACGATTTCCCTCAAAAAACACTTTCACGTGATTCCTTCTTTCCTCCCATCTCCATCCTTCATGTGATCCGCTTGAAGCCAGCGTCGGCGTCGGACTTGAGCAGCAGCACCATGCCGTCATCGAAGGTGGACCACCAAGCGCGCGGACTTCTATCCTTGGTCCCTCACTCTTGACTGACTCTGCAGGCTAATGCGCGCAGGTCGCAATGCACGCACTGTAGTCCGGCGGGCCGCTTGAGGCACGGCGTACCTGGCTGCATGCACCGCATGGCGGACTTTGAAAAAGCACGATCCCGCACACACCCTCGATTCATGCACCGGACTCGTGAAGCTCGCGCGCGCTGGGGGGCTCGCTCGGACACTCTCCAGTCACGAGTAGTCGAATGTTGGTCTGCTTGTGGTCCATCGTCCTTCTCTCCATCCTCTGATTCCATCAACCTGCGGCCTTGCTGTCTACGCTGCTCGAGCGCGCTGCCAGTACGGACAGCGCGAGGCAACCGCTCGTACATCTCGACACGCATCTGTACTGCCCCTCGCCCTGCATCGCTGCATCGCTGCGTGCACTTTCCAACACCTATCAAGAACGCTCTCCTCCAAGATGAGTCAGTCGCTCGACCTTCAGGAGCAAGCAAGATCACCAAGGAGCTTCAGACGGATCGTCTACCAACGCTCGAATACGGAAAGTAATGCTATGCTACAAGCAGCGATCGTGGGCGCGTTTGCGGGAAACCTTGCGTACGCCGTCAGCTTTGTCTCGTCTTGCGTTCTTGGACCTCCAGTCGGACTCAAGCCTTGCGACCTCGGACTCTTGCAAGCCGTAGTCGATATGTGGGCTTACCGCCCTCTTGCCGAGGTGCAGGCCAAACTCGACGGATACGCGCACAAGGTGTATCCCGGAGCGGAAGTGTTTCTGCGCGAAGTTCCGGTAAGCGAAGGCGACGCGCTATTTGACTCGCGCTTTTGCCACACTCCACGGCAGGGTGTGGCTACCCCTCGAGCACGCATATCTGAGCTGTCGACGTCAGATCTTACAGATGAGCGCGCCGAGAACGAAGGCAGCAGCGGCGAGGCCAGCAGCAGAAATGGCGAGGCTTATTCGCACTTCGCAAATACAGTACCTTCGGTCATCTCTGACGAGCTGCCCGGAGAGACCATCGATACAGCAACAGGTGCGGCAGAAATGGTGGGAAGGGTTCAAGAGCTACCGAATCGGGAGTCACAACAAGCTGAGGCATCGACGATCCAGGAGCTCGACGAACCGGAGATAGGACCCATGCCATCACAGTCCAAGGGCAAAGGTCGACTCGTAATTCCCGACGCGCCGTTGGACACCGCTGAAGTGGAGGATGCAGCAGTAGAGGCTGCTTCCACGTCTGCCGCACCGATACAAGAAGCCCAGCTTTTGAGGTCAGCTCACCGACAAAATCCACACCCGGCTATCTGCATAAGCGTCCATCTCCCGCAGGATGCACAGCCAGAAAGTAGCTATAATTCTGGGACCAGAAGCTTTAACGAGCCCTCATGCAGCGCCCTTGAGCTTTCTCGCGAGCAGCGATGGCACGAGAACGATGGCCAAGATGCACGGCGGCGGAGACTCATCTGGCTGTCAGAAACCAGAGATCAAGAGCGGCTCAGAGCAGCCGTGGTGCGGTACCTGCCATCGGCCGTAGCAATCTCATTCGACAACGAAGCTAACGACCACGTTAGAGCCTACTTTGCCGAGCGTTTCTCAAGACTCCTCGAGCGTTATCTGCAATATCAACAGAGCCTCGGTGCAGATCTCCAGACGTTGGAGCCTCGCATTGATCAAATTTTCATAGAATTCGTGGAGACTGCAGTTATCCTCACCTGGAGACAGCTGCCTCACATCTCAGCGTCTGTTCGATGCTACCGTTTCGGAAGGTTTCTTGGTCACGTATGGTACATGTCCGGCTTTGCGCTCGCAGCCAGCAAATCCTTTGGTGCCGACCTCGCTCTACTCGACACCGAATTGCTAGGTTTGGCGGCCCTCGTCTTCTGGATGGTGGATTGGTCCCGCCGTGATAGGGCGTCAATGCAAACACCATCACCTGAAGGGCTACGGACAGCCGCCAGCTTTGATGATTTGATGTCAAAGGTTGAATTTCGACGCATGTTTGGTTCGATCTTTGACGAACGTATCATCATAGCTATGTGGGACAACATCGAAGCCGAACTCCCAAGGATCGAGATAAACAACAATACCGAAATAATCGCATTACTTTGTGCCGTAGGATCACCCGCCGGTCTTCAGCACTTCGTCAGACAAGGCGAATGTATTGCTGCAGGCGCGATCGATGAGTGCAATGACCTCAGGCGCGTTTTGACCTCAAGCCTACCGCGACTTTGGCAAGACGCCGCAGCCCCAGGTGTCGAAGCCCAGGACTGACTGGAGTCAGGAGCGCACTCCTCGGTCTCGGCAACTTGCCCAGGCTCCGACATCCGCTTCGCAGCAAGAAGAAGAGGTCTATCCATGCCGACGCTGAGGCACAGCCTGAGGTGCTCCATTGGCAGTGCTACCAGCGTCCGCATTGCGACGGCAAGCTCTATTTAACGACAGTCCCGTATTCTGAAGACGACGTCCGCATCCCACACGGACCCCTCGCACCCGTTCGCGGCCTCTTGATCCCAGTTCCGCTTCCATTCGATCTCCTGCCTCATGTCTGCTGCATGCACCTGGCACTGCTAGCGGAAGCTACCTGCGCAAAGCTGGCGGTGCCCGTGCCCACATTCCTGATTCCGTTGCATCCGGACCTCACTTGTATAAACATCACGCCCAGGATTTCATTAGCAATGAATTGTATTTGTACGATCCGGTCGAAGATGAAAGCAGTCGTGGCCAGAGCGAGCCTTCACGAATGGTGAAACGCTCGGCAGACGCTACAAAGGTGCAGTTCATCAAGTGCCGGCGGTACGCCCCGTTGGTTGCAGGCAACGCGCGCACGCGCGCCTGCATGCGCGTGGAGGGGACGCGTTTATATACCGCGAATAAACATTGTGCAGCAAGTCGGTACTTGTGAACCTAGCGTAACGGTTAGACCCATGAATTTTCCAATTTACCTCACGGTGGCAGAGGGTGCGGATGTGTTGGGATATTTTCTGAAAGCCTCTTCTTTCGGGGGGAGGTCTAGGGATGTCAGTGGAGAGGGGGTGTGGGGCGCCTGCGCCTTCCCCCTTCAAAGCATAGTCTCCGGCCGGCCCACTGCAGTGGGTAGATCATCAGACAGTCTGCGCCGAATGTTTACAAAGTTCCAGCCAACCGGTCAAGTGTGGGGATCGGACTAATAGGAGGAGTCACAAGAGCGCAAACGCCGAGGGGCCGAATCCATCCCATACAAATATGCCCAACAACTATGAAAGAGAAATTCAAATAATGGTTAAGAGTTTCCAGTGAGATATACAATATCATCGCACACACACACACACACGCCGCGGGTTCGAACCCTGCGCGCGCACAATCTTTTTTTTTTTTTTTTTGCTTTTGATCGTTTGCCCCGCGCGGGTGCTGCTGTGCATGCAGCGCGTGAGACATCAGCATGGTGCTGGATGGATGCACGCGCGGTGCCTGCGTTTGCAACAAGTTGAGGGCAAAAGCGCAGCAGAAGAGCCACGGGAGGCAGGCTGCTGCCGAGCAAAGATCCCGTGTGACTTGGGGCGCCTGCTGGCGTTCTTGGCTCGCGTCCACGATGACACCTCGAAGCGCGCGCTCCAATCGGCGTACAGGCGTGTGCGAGCGGTTCGTGTTGCACCGCTAAACAGGTGCCTTCAATAGCAGCAGTGTCAGCGATGCCATGCCTGCCCGAGCATCCTGTCGGTTCTGCCGCACACGCAAACTGGTGAGTGCGCAAGCTTTGAGGGTCTGCACCGCGTGACTGTCTCGGGCCAGCTGACGCTGATGGCCTTGTTCGCTGCTTTAGAAATGTGTGCCTGCGCCTCAGGACGGCATTCAAGTGCCGTGTCAGGCTTGTCTGGCTCGCGGTCAGGAATGCATTCACGATGATCGGGCGGTCATGGGTCGACCTTTGAAGCGCGCTCGGACAAGTTCGACGGTGCCAGATGAGTCGAAGTCTGCGTCGACGGCCACGAGGAGACGTGAGCAGAGCATAGGCGCACTTCTTTCGGATGCCTACGGTGATCTGTTTCAGACCGACATCGAGTGCGCTCCACCAACGATCAGCTCTTCGGCTACGTCTTTCCAGTCGCCATGCAGAGACACGAGCGCTTCTTGCTCGGCCTTCAAGATTGCTCTCGAGAAGCTTCGGCAGCATCAAGCCCATCTCCCCATTCCGGACGCAGCTGACGAAGCTGACCAGGTCCCTTGCGGATCCTCCACATACCCGGCCATCATTCAGCTGATGAATACGGCACTGCTAGAAATGTGCATCTCGCACCTAGCGCCTTATTTGCAGCTCAAGACGGACCGCTACTATGCCATCGCTCTCACCAGAGACTCGCATGAGCTCAAAGTCGGTGAGAGGGATGAGCTGGATCTGGACGCGTTCGTGCAGCCTGTGGCGAGCACGAGCAGCTCCAGCAGAGAAGACGCGCTTTTTCTAAAGTGGGAAAAGCTTCATCCCCTCGCTTGTCTGTTCGAGGAATCGCAAAAGTCAAAAGTGATGACGGAGCACGAAAGACGAAGCTCACCGTTGCTGAATGCAATGTGGCATTTGAGCTTGTCTGAGGCCTTGGAGCTTGATGCGAGTTCGGACAACTCCGCGGAAGACAGTAGGCGCCTGCAACGCGACGCAGAGAGCTTTTTCAGTGATTGCGTGGTCACTGCTTCGAGCGACTACCAGACTGCCACGCTGTCACTACTCTCGCTCATGCTGGCGATGCATCACATGTGTCGAGGACGCGCCAAGATAGGCACTGCATATCTAGCTCTCTCGAGCCACTTGCTCGAGAGGGACGTGTCCAAGCTCGACCATGCATCGTCCTTGACCGCCCTTCTCCGCGCAACCATCGCATCTTTTGAGGTTTGGGCACTCCTCTCGCTCGCATGCAGCACATCGACAGCTGCAGACTGCAGCGGCGTCTTCAAGACACTCTCGGCAAAGGTCGACGGCGTGTGGGCATGCGGCGACTTGCTTCGCGCAACACTCGGCGGCAACAAGCGCAGCTTGTTCGTCCTTTTCCAAAGTGCTAGTCTGGTAGCCTCACTGGTCGGCAACAGCAAGTCACACAGGGGACTGCTGCAGAGCCAAGACTCGACTTTGAGCTCCTTTGGAAGCGCTGCGCGGAGCCTCTTGGCGATCGGGCTTTCACTAAGCCAGCTAAAGCCCAATACTAGCGAGCGGCAGTCTCTTGAAAATGTATGGACGCATCTGAGGGCAGTGCATGAACTCGCAAAATTTCTCGAAGCACCCCGCCAGGATCACCGAGTCTTTTCCAAAATTTCCTTTGGCACCGCTATATCCGATCAGCAGGGTCTCGATTCAGATGACGCGCCGACTATCTGCCTCCTGATTGGCTCATTCATCAAAGTTGGAGTCGCACTCCTCGAGTACGCACGTCGAAACGAGTGGGTAAGCTCGCCCACTGCGCTCAGCGTCTGTAGAGAGCTCGAACAGCTCTGCGCGCACAAGAGGTTGGCGGGCAACCCAGGTATTGAAGCGAGCAAAGGGAGCTTGAACGTCGTCGAGCTTAACCTAACGCGAAGGCAGTGGCAAGCGGACAACACTCCCCCTCAGGACGCCCCGCCTCTGAACGCGGTGCACCTTGGGCTCGATTCGACGAGCTTCACTGCAGCGCAATGGGACTCCGCGGACTTGCATCGATTCCTATCTGGATTTGTTGATCAGTCGGATGCACCATCTGCATGTGCGATCAGCCCCGCGTATGTACAATCGGAGGCAGACGGCAGCGCGGATACGTCATTCATATCGGACGCACTCGGTACAATGTGGGGCGAGCCGTGGGGATCGGAAGATCTGGCCGCTCTCGAAGCGATGCCGCCCGAGCTCGAGTCTGGTTGAGAACACCAGCTTGTCTGCACTTCTAGCGGCCCACGTAGCCTTCCGTGCGAAGAACGAGCTGCTCAGTAGCTTACCACGTAAGCTCCGCTCCGCTTGAGCGCGTTTGGTTCAGCCTCGCCGGCGCTTTCGTTGATGCTCTCAGCGATAAAATGCCCCACATCTTCTCTCGAGATGGTCCACGCACTGTCCAACGTACTTCCTGCCTCTGAAATGCGATACTTTCCGGTCCGAGCACCGGAGGTCAGCAGAGAAGGTCGAACGATGAGAAGCTTCGAAGGATCAAAAAGCGCGGCGGAGCGCTCCGAGCTGGACTTGGCGCTGGGGTTGAAATCGTTGGAGTGCAGTCCGTACGCTCTATGCAACAGTTCTTCCATCTCGTGCTTGTCGGCATGCGGATAGGTCAGCAAGTGGTGGTCTGGAGCAGGGCGGGAGTTGCGTCGTCAGCTGCGAGCTCTGTTGTACTACCATGGGCGCACATGGCTCATCTCGACACTTACAGAAGACTCTCAGAATCCAAGGCAGCCTCTCTAGCGATTCGTGGCCGATACCGTTGGAACTGACAACGATCAACGCGGGCGTGTGTGCCGTCGAGTCCCGCATCACATCGAGCAAGTTCTTTGTTCCATCGGCACATATCCTCTCCAGACCTGCTTGCAGACGAGGTTTCAGTCCGCCTTTCCACTCGAAAACAGGCAAAGCTCCGAGCGAAGAGACGATCAGGTCCACCTTGCCGTGCTTCCGAATGGATTGGAAAGCGCAGGAAAGAGAGGAGATGGAGAGCGCGTCGGCTTGATGCAGATGTACGCTTGATGGCAAGGACATGCCTAGCGTGCAGAGGTGTTGGCCGAAAGAGGAGGGGTTGCGAAGAAGGAGATGGATGGTGTGCTGCGATGCTGCGTCATCGAACACTAGACGCTTCAAGAGCGCGAGTCCGCATCCTCTGGACGCTCCAAGGATGACAATGTTCATAATTCGATCGGCTTGCGTGCGTGTTGCACGAGCTGCTGTGAGGTGAGATGTGGCTGAGATTGGAGGAAATGCTTGCGCGTGTGTGTGCGGGTGATGAGGACTACACATCGATCGGTGGTGAAAGGCGCCCAATTTATATCTCTCCAATAGCGTAGAGCTTCTGCAGGCAGAAACAGATACCCTCACGAGATTGTCTCAAGGCGATTGCGGCGGCTCAAGCTACCGCTTCAGCGCCATGCTGTCTCACCCATCCCGAACAACTCTCCGTCCCTATAAAAGTCTCCGTCTCCGTCTCCGCCTCCGCCTCCGTCCCCGCTTCCCGTCTCCGCCTCTCGCCGTCCGCGCATCCCGCCCTCTCTAACGCTACCGCTTTCCAGCTCAGAAGTGCCGGTCACCTCACGCGCACACCCTGACCATCGTTGAGCATACCTGATAGTCCTTCTCAAACCGAAGGCGCACCGCACCCTCGAACCAAAAAAAAAATCTCTCCGTCACGTCTTTTCTTCTCCGCTCCCTCCGCCTCGCCCGTTGCTCACGCGCGTCTAGGTGAGCCGCGTGAAGCAAAGCAAAGCAGCGCGCCGGCATGCCGCGGAGTTCCGTTGGGGCCAGCCCATCACGTGACTCAGGGCAGCAGGAGACTCACGCTCGCATTTGGCGCTGATGCTGTATTCAAATTCCCCGCTTCGAGCAGGCCTGCCCTCTCTGCCTTCCCTTTCCCTCTCACACTCACAACTCGTGCCTGCAGAGCCTCTCACCTCGATCAAGCCAGCGCACAGTGGCTCGGCCTGTGATCTTTGCGCCCGCCCATCAGCTTCAGTCAGGCTCTCATGTGAGCTGCGGACGCACCGACCGGGCCAGCCATCTCCACGCGGCCCAGTCGGCGCCGTGATGGGGTCCATCGGCACGGCCCCCGACGTCGCCTGCCTGCTCATGATTCTGTCAAGCTTTGCAAGGTTGCATGCGCATAAGCGCTTGCAGTTCCGAATACAGGCGCTCACGCCTCGATAGAGGACAGGCGTGTCGGCTGTCGGCTCGGCCTCAGCCATGCGTCAGCCTCGTCTCGCTGTAGGCAGCACCACCTCCCGTCAACGACGGCGTCCACGCCGACGCTGACGCTGACGACAGCGTCCAGCGTCTTGCGCCTTCTCCCTCCTTTGACCAGCCCACACATGCGGCATCCACCACCGCATCAACGATCCTGTGCATGGGCCGGCAAGATTTCAAGTCTCCAACGACGCCACTCAACCTCGGAATTGGGCATGTATGCGCCTCCAAAGGCAACAAGGCGATACCAAGGACCTTACTGCCTGGCGAGATGAAACCTGTGCGGCAGGCTTCACGTCACACAAGGAACGCAGAGGACTTGAAGGATCGCGGTGTGGCTTCTCGTCTACTGAGGGTACCGGCATTGCGGAGCGGTGCGAATGGCCGGCCTGCATGCCAAGATTTGCGCCACGGGACATACTGGCGACCGGCATTTCGAGCGACGCCGATCAAGTGAATACTACAGCAGGGAAGCAGCGGATGAATCAGCTTTGAATGCGCTACCAAGCCCCCCCCTTCTGGGCGCGGGACATTGGCGACCGTGTATGCGTGGACTCAGGCAGGCGCAGGACCACGTTTCATACACGCTCGGCTCAAGCGGCGCGTACGACGGCAGACGAGTTGGATGTACCATTTCGTATTGCGGGTTGCGAGCAGCCGTCTACGGCGTACAAGGTGAGACATGCGAGTGGGGAGAATGGATCGTCGGCGAGAATGCGGGCCAGGAAGGGCTGTGTTCCTGGAGCGGACGGATGACGTTGGAGCTGTGGAAAGGTGGAGGGACGATAATACAAGGCGCAAGGGCGAAGACGAAGGATGGTTGGCGTGGCAGAAGGGGGGATGAGACGATTGTCAAGGTGAGTAGGGTAGAGTCGTGTGGGGCTGTGATGCGAGACCGTCCAATGGCCGGACTTGTTAGCCGGATGCGCGCAAAGGGGACGCGCTGGCTGGCTGGCTCATGCTTGTTGCCTACTTGAATTTGATGCCGTTGAAACCAAAGTCGGTTCCTTGGTACTTTTTGAGCGCGCTGACGATATCGACGCCCAGGATCTTGTTGGCATCCTTGTTCTGACTCAGCAGAGGCAAGAAGGGCGTGTAGGTGGTTTGGCAGCCGGACTGCTTTAGCGTGCCGTCCAGCACACCGCTGGTCCACTGTAGAGCGATGGGCAAGGTTTGGAAAGCGGTAGCAATGTGCTCTCCAGTGCCAATCTTTTGGTAGTTGATATTGGCACCGCCCGCGCACTGCGAGTCGACGTAGGACTGCACTTGGGGAGGCGAGATGATCTCGTCGGTCTGGGACTGGAGAATCAGCTGGGGCAGCGTGCCGGGGATCTGACCTTCCGATCCGTAGCCCAGAGTATTCTCGTCCAAGGAGCTGCTGACGGTGGGATCATTTTGCCAGTCCTTGTTGGCAAAGTATGAGTTGATGTCCTTGTTCAAGTTTCTAAGCAGCAAGTCGAGGATGCACTGAGAATCGCCTCCGGTGGCTCTCGTAGCGTAGATATCGTTTCTGCCCTGCGCGTTCAGGTTGGTATCGAGCCAGGCTTGCAGCTTTGGAGTGGCTGCTGCTACACCGGCGATGCTACCCAGCACAAAGCCGCTGAACGGGCCCTTGTTCAATTGGGAAAGCATCTGCTTGACATCCACGGGGATACCGCCAGACACGACTCCGACGAGGTTCAGCGTTGGGGCGTACGATTGGTGAAGCTGACCTGCCCAAGAGACGGCATGGGCTCCACCTGCGGAGGGTGAGAGGGAGTGCAGTGCGCCTTGTCAGATTTGTGACTTGTCGCACACACACACACCCAGCTGAGCGCGAGCAAACGTCGACTCACCCGAGTAGCCGTAGATGGCAATCTTGGCGTCCTTGGTGGACTTTGAGCCGACGGTCTCCTTGTGATTGGCCACGACTCGAACACCATCCAGCATGCCGAAACCTTCGCCGTTGCCGCTGATCCAAGTAGCTTGGCTTCCCATGTAATCGGGAACCGATACGTACCAGCCCTTGTTGAGGGCATAATTCGAAATCACACCAAAGATGGCTGGAAAGGCGGTAGCTTTGGCTTTGGAGAGAGCACCGAGCTGGAAAGAAAAGGAAGATTGACAATCTTTGCCGGTCGAGTCGATGGGAAGGGCGAGTCCCCAAATCTTCATCGGTCCGGCTGCTGGAAAGTAGGGCGAGAGCAGCGTCGTGACGGTAGCGTCTGTTGCCACGTCGTACGTGGTGGTGTTGGCGAGCGAAGAGGCGTACAGCACCTGGTAGCTCGTCTTCGCCGACGTTGCGTACGTCGAGACCTTGCGAGAGCGAATCACATCTCCAGGCTTGTAGCTCGAGATATTGGCAGGCACTTGAGACCGAAACGGAGGATGAGGGTCAGTCGCGAGCTAGACGCGGGCCCTTCTGGAGCTACGCACCTCTGTAGAAGGGATCGACGGAGGGAGAGACAAAGCCATTAGCTTGTCGTGGGTCCAATAGTCGCGCGTTGGAGGGAATAGAGAATGTGTAGATGACGAGCGAGCATGCTGCGAGCAGCTTGGCCGCGAATGCGAGCGTCTGCATGACGATGGAGGGAAGGGGTTGGTGGGGAGGGTGAGCAAAAGGGTGGAGAGGAAGGAAAGCTGGAGAATCGTGGTCGAAGCGGAGCGAATTGGCGAATCGAGCGTGCGACTGGGCTTCTTAAAGATGCGTGGGATGCGGAGCAGCGTCGGTCTTGACAAATTCGAATCCTCCTGACACAGAAGTCTACCAGCGCTGAGAGGCTGTTGTGGAGCGGTCAAAAGTCTATACAAGGTTCGGAGCGGGCGTCGGGCAAGACAGGGACGGAACGAAACGAAACGAAACCTTAGAAGATGGGCTGGGGCGACGAAGCAGAGAAGAGAGTCGGCTGCAACGGCAAGCGAATGAAGGGGCCCGCCAGGTCAGCCGACGCTCAAGGGGGCAGTGCTCCGAAGAAAGATCTCTGTCCAGTGTCTCCTGTCTATCCAGGGGAAGGGATCGCCGTGAGGGTCTGTCATTTGGACGCATGATGGGAAAGGAGCGGAAACGTGTTGCGAATGCGCGTTGCGAGTGCATAACCCGGCCCGCTGCTGAAGTGCACCAACCTGCCAAGCCCTGCTGGATTGGCATAGAGGCCTGCATGCTACAGTAGCCGCCGCGCTGACTCGGTGGGAAGATTTCCGCGCTATCCTCAAAAGGAGCTGCAGGCACCTGCATCCTCTAAAACACACGAGCCCATTTGCTTCAATCGCCCTGCGCAGCCGCTCCTGCTGGTTGGTCATGCTAATTTGACGAACGTTCAGGTACATGAACGGTCGAATCTCCTCCTCATTCGTTACGCAAGCAGGCAGGAATGAGAAACGACTCGACATTTACGAGCTCGCTTGCGTCTTGCCGAAACGGCATCCTCCGCTGCGAGACTTTGCGCTCAGCTCCTCCCCTGCTCCCGCGCAGCGACCACGCAACGCTGATTCATATGAACACTCCGACGGCGCACGACCATCGAAGCGAGCCGTGCTCTGCAGGACTGGTTCCGGATCGAGCAGCGTGCTCCACGAGGGAGGGACGTGTCCGATCGCATCATCGGGACTCGCAGTTCAGCTCGTGCCTTCTTGCAGTGCGACGAGGATGGAAATCGTCAGACGTAGTAAGGGCGAAGGGAGCCATGATAAAGCAAGAGAAAACGCGGAAGGGGCGGGAGGCAAAACTCCGCCTTCGCTAGGAGCGGCATCAAAACTAGCCGACTTTTTGTTTTGCTTGCTCAAGGGTGCGCGTGCGCCCGCCCCTGCACGCGAGAGCAGCCATGATCCCCGATTCGCACGCGCCAGCCCAGCCTACTGCAAGACCCTTGGCCTCAAGCGCGCCATTCACCGTCGGACGCCTTTCACGCGATGGACTGATGCGAGGCCAGAAAAAGGGCATTGCTCTTGCTCTTGCTCTTGCTGCTGTCACGCTCCGCAAACAATCAGAGCGGAGCTGCAAAGCGTATGCATGAACCGATGCACGCCAGCAGGGCCCATCCGCGCTAAGCGGTCGCGTCCAAGTCGGCTCTGGACGAGGCACAGGAGCTTGCGCGCGCGCGAACAGTGCTGACCCTTTTTCATGACCACAACCCCTTTGCGAACTTCTCGTCGCGCTCGAGTCGACCGGGCCAATCGCGATTGCTGACACAGCAGCACTTTTCTGCGTCCGGCACAGCGTCACTGCATTAGCTCAAGCCACCCAGCTAGGCAAGTCCCCGTACCTACGTCGGAATTGCAGCGCTGAGTCTCCTCACTTTATTCGCCTCGAATGTCGGCACAGCGCTCGTCGTTCCTTGGCAGTCGAGAATGTGGCTCGAGGCGCGTGCGAGCGGTACAAAGATGCGTGGTCCTACAGCGAGAGAGTCAAGTGCACGGTGGGTTGGACGGGCCCGGGCCGGATGCATACCTCACCCTCGCATGCATGGGCGGAATCCTGTGAAGCTGTCTTACGGCCATGTTCACGTAGCCATGAATCGATCGAGAGGCGCGGAACTCGCATCACGGATCAAGGACGACTGCGCGATTCGTTTGCAACCCTTGCCACATGACGCTTTCGATGCTTCCGTCAGCAATGACGTGCTGCGGCGGCTCGCACCTCGAGGCCAGACACTCGTGACTGGCTCCCAGCAACGCAGGCAGGATCGCAAGGACTTCTCCTAGCGAGCGTCCGCCTTACAGGTCGATCGCGTGGCATCGACGGGGATCGGCAACATTTTCGAGAACCGCATGGCACAGTCCCTTCTCGGGCCACAAGATCAACGAGAGCATGCGCAGGGTGTGGGGAGGCATGAATCAGCCGCGAGGGGATGACATGATGATCGACGCGCTGTCATGCTATCTCATATCACCGACCCGAGCGGAGCTGTCGCAAGGGGGCTCCACGTCGAAGCTTTTTCTCATTCTCGTCTTGTTTGCGAACAGGAGCATGCGCGCGCTGATCGTGTCAGGAGCCGACGCGCGAGGACCAGCGCATCGCAGACAGGCATCCTACGAGAGGTCTGCCCTTCATTCCCCTCACAAGGCGCAGTAACTCGCAATAGGAGCGAATATGCGCGCTCTCTCGCATGCTCAGTGTGTAGGGACGCACTTGGTTGGGGCGCGAATTCGCGTATGACATTGATAGGATTCGGAAGGGAGGCTTGACAGCTTGGGCGCATTAGTATGAGGGGCTTGGATGGAGGTTCTGGAGGAGCCTCAGGGACCTTGGACGCGATTTCAGAGACGTTGAGCTCCGCACGATGTGAGATGCGGCGACCCGACCCAGCGAAGGAAGCGCCCTGCGGTCGACGTCAAATCAGCGTACCGATCGAGCTCGTCGGCATTTCGATTAGGCCGCTGCTTGTGGCTGCTGGAGCTCTTGACACTCTTCGCCTTTGTCCTGGTAGCCGTCGCAAGGTTGAGGGTCGAAAGGATGGTCGACATCTCCGACGGGCCAGTCTCCGCTCACTCTCGAGTTGCCAAACGCCACTAGCCCAAAGTTGATCCACGCGACGATGATTGCAGTGGCCTCGTAGAGCTGGGTGCGGTATTTCTTGTCAGACTGGATGGTGACCAGAGAGGAAAAAGTCTTGAAAGCGCGGCCGAGAGGAGGTAGCAGCTGGTCCACGAACCCGTCGACACCGCTCTTCTTCATTCGGTCTTGGTTCTGCACCAGCGCCTGGACAGTTGCGGTGACGTTGCCGGAGCTGCGAAGCAGAACCATTGGGGAGTCCATGGTTAGCGCCCCCGCCGACGTATCGATGTATGTACGTCGAGTAGCCGAAGGGCACTCACGCATAGCCAAGAAGCACCAAGATATCCTGGACGTCTTCGCCCTGGACTTCAACCTCCGGCGATGCGAGGTCATTCACAGCAGTATGGAGATCTGCGGTAAGGTTGGTGACAGCCGCGATGGCCAAACCAGTCTGAGAACTGGAACAATTGCAAGTGCTGGCGTCAGGGTGCGCACAAGAGAGGAGCAAGAAGTGTCGAGACTTACAGATCGCCGGCGAGGTACTTGGAGAAGGATGAGAGCAATGCACCAATGTGCTCGTTCATCGAGCCTACGGTCTCTTCCAACTTTCTCGTGGTCGGGTTCCAAGCAGCGGTGCCCTGGACGAGCACAATGCTCAGGATCACGAATGGAATAAGCAGACGCATGGTGGAGTGGGCGATGTGGGAGCGTGAGGAGAGACGGCGGCGATAGCGTCAGATTACGAATGGATGTGAGTGGGCAGGATACGATCGAGGTGGTGCGGACGGAGGGGTGGGGAAACGATCAGGCGTGCAGGAGGAAAGCGACCGCTTTTTGAGGTCGCTTGCTTTGCCTCCTTGTACGTGACGGCACGGCATACATGCTTGCTACTCTTGCCTGTGTGCTTTGCTGACTGTGCTGGCGTCGCTGGCTGCGCACTTCTCCCCGAATCTTCTCTGCACTCAGACCAGCGTTGCGTATTACTTACCGGTGCGAATTGTCTACTCGAACACAGTAGCGTCGCAGCGAGCACAGTGCAACGCTGACTCAGACTCTCGCCCAACGCTAAGCTCTGCAAGGCAACGGCGTGAAGCTGATGCATCGCGCAGTCTTCTACTTGATGTTCCTGTCGCGACTTGGCGCAGCCAGCCGTCGCATAGCGGTCCGTCATGGCATTTCGGCGGGGAAAGATCTTCAACTCGCTCCGCGGTCGAAAGACCACTCAGCTTCGGAGGTGCACGAGTCGCGCCTCGGCTGCGGGGGACTCGAACCTGTCGCCCTGCTGCCTGCGACTCGCTGCTAGCGCTCGCTGGTCTGCCTGAGTTCCGTGCACTCTTTTGGACTCCACCGAGGCTGCTGCAGGGATAGCTGACCTGTGAGGCAGGCCAGCAAAATCGCCTTCGCCTTCGCACTCGCAAGCAGAAGCACAGTCGCTTCACAGTCTGCTGTGTCCGGAGTACATTGAGCTCACGATGAGAAGAGTACACGTGGAGCTCAGCACGGCAAAGCATTTCGCGTTTCGATAATGAAAGGACATGTAGCATGTATTGGTCAAGGTTATCTTCTCGGAAGGTCACCGCGCTCAGAAATCGGCACCTCTGCAAAGGTTTGGCATTTTGCCAAGCACTGCTGCGTCTGGACCGGCATGCTGCAGCGCGCCGTCGACGAGTAGGCCACGACTTCATTCACATGCGGTCAGCACGAATCTCGGGAGTCAGACCACGCTTCTTCAAAGGAGCCAGCGCAACCTTCTTGCAGTGCTGCTTGTCCTCGTTGTAGCTGTCGCAGGGAGCAGGGCCAAAGCTCGGGAGCCAGTCGGCGCTGATGCGAGCCAAGCCGAAGCTGACAAGACCAAAGTTGATCCAAGCCACTGTTCCGGAAGAAGTCTTGTCCAAGGCCTTGGCATACTTCTTGTCGGCCTGAATAGCCACGAGAGTCGAGAAGCCGTTGAAGGCGCGTCCGAGTGGGGGCAAGAACTGCTTGATGAAGAAGTCGTTCCCACTCGATTTCAAGAGTTCCTTGGCTCCGATGAGAGCATTCACGACTTTGCTGACTTCGGTCTGACTGCAATCGTGCAGCGGAGCAGCGGATCAGCATCTTCACCAGCACTAGGGGCGATCATCTGCTGGCCAAGCACCACTGCGTACACTCACCCAACCTGGAGACCGGCGAGGATGTCCTTGACGTCCTCTCCTTGAATTTTGATCTCAAAGACGGACAAGTCGTTCGAGGCAGAGTGAAGGTCGGTGGTCAAGTTGCCCAGAGCTTCCACAGCGGTGCCAGTTTGACCACTGCATGCGTGGCGCAGATGAGAAAGTCAGCAGTCAAGCAACTCGAGAGCTGTCCTCTACTCTACGGCCATGCTCGTTGTTCTTCAAGCTGGCGTCACGCCTACTCACAGGTCACCGCCGAGGTATGCAACAAACGACGAGTGCAAAGTCTTAATGTGACCATTCATGGACTCGACGTGGTCCTCGAGCTGCCGGGTCGCTTTGTTCCAGGCGTGCACCTGCGATGCCGCACTCAGCATCAGAGTGACCAGAGCCACGAGGGGCAAAAGAGAGAAGATGCGAAGCTGCATGTTGAGAAGATGTTAGGAGGTACGGGTGATGAGGTGGTTCGACGAGGAGGAAAAGGCAGGATTGAGGGGGGGGGTGTAGGGTGGAAGAGGCGGACCGAGGCAGTTGTTCAACGCCTTTATACCACAAGGATCCAAAAAAATCCGAGACTAGGACGAGCGCCACGTCAGCTCCAAGACATGCCAAGCTGCATGTCGCGGGGCTTGTCTTCACCAGCGGAGTCGACGGACGAGGCATCACAAGTGGCTCCCGAGCGTCCTCACAGTACCAAACTTGTATGCGCAGCAGAAAGTAGCAAGCATGTACGCATTTCGGGTCGCTTTGCATAGTTCTTCAGCAGACCGGGAGCCCCGAACATTCCTTTAGTGCTGCCGCGTTGCAGGTTTGCAGCTTGGCAAGCCACTTCGAGGCGTCTTTGCGTGTTTGCGAAGCACGTATTATTTTCATTTGCTGACGGGCACGCCGGCCCGTTTTGGGGACGAACTCGATTGAGGGGGCACCTTGTCCTCGACATTGCGCCGCGTAAATCAGGCATACGCTAATTAATTTGTGACAGGCACAATCCCGCAGCCGCGGTCTAGCGAAATCTCGCTTCGGACCGCGCACATCCGGTTCCTCACATTGGAGTCGCACAGCAGCATGAGCGGCATTGGAGATCGAGGCAGTAGTCCCTTCTCGTCGTATGCTCATTACGGAAGCCGGCGCCCGCACGCAGGTCATGAACGCTGGCTGACTGCGTCCGGCTACGAGCGTGCGCAGCTAGCCGTGATTGCCGATCAGCGTTCTCCCTAAAGAACACGACTTGTCCAGGACGGGTGCTTTCTCCTGACACGCTCGAGAAGGCAATATGTTGCATAATTGCAGCCATGTCGAGGCCTTCGCTTCGCCCAATGTGAAGCGTAAAAGTTGGCTGCAAGTATGAGATCACGGTGATGATGGATGTATTCGCGCGAGAGTAGGCGCATGTAAAGTAGCGTTTACATGCGCGTCAGGCGTGCGCGTGTGGGGCGCGCACGCAACACGAACATCAGCAACAGTTTGACTTTAGCCAGTACGTCTTTGGCCCTCCAGATCTCATCACTGAGCACTTTGGCAGACCCAATCTGGGTGAAGGCAGCTACATGCGGTTTCCTGCAGAGAACACCGCTGCAGTCGACCCACCAACTACTGGCAATCATCAAAGCAACAATCTCAAGGAGGATCCTGACCACCCAAGCAGCGGGGGTCATCTGGCTGAGGCTATCAAGCAGCTAAAAGTGTAGCGCTCCTCTACTTTGAAGCACCCTTGACTTGATTTCAGCGCTCTGTTGCTGGGCGCGCTCGTGGTCTCCTGGCTTTTCCCAGAAGTTGCTCCCACTTATTAGAAGGTGAGCCTTCATTGCTTGTCAAGCCACTGGGTGAAAGCGCTTGGCACAGGTTAGGGTTCAATGGAATAGAATATTCACACACCTACTCCCTACCAACAACAATCCAACTTCTTGCGGGGCGCCAAACTCTTCCCAAATTGAATTCACTGGTATAAACGCGATCTTACTGCACTGGGTCTCGTCATGGGAAAACAGCAGTAGCTTGCATTAGTCCCATGTGGCCATCTGGTAGTCTGTGGGCTCCCTTGCAACCTACCATCATAGGATAAGCCCAGGTAGCTGGTCTTGTGCTCCCCCAGTGGGAAATCTTGCGGAGTGGAAAGCTGTAGGCCAGTGAGGCTGGACTGCGCATGCAGGTCCTGGGTCTTGTTAGTTGGAGTCAGAAAACCCATGTCAGTAAAGGCACAGCACTTGAGCTGCAACCCACACTGCACTGACCTGGTCTGCTTTTGACCATTCCCATTGTTGGTCTGAAGCGCTGTTGTACCCTATAGCGTTGCCAACTTTGGCCTCACCGCCCCAGCATGCGCTTTGTGCAGACCTCTAAGCCTATCAAGCTGTAACTTGCCTGCTTCTTGACTTGCAGCAAAGACAGGGGCCAGCTGCCACTTGGCTTTTGAGTCTTTGGTCAGGGCGCAAGTCTGAATGACCATTTCAAGATTTCTTTACAGGTGACTAGTCTTCGCTTGGCTGTTCTACAAGGAGTGCAATGACTTGATGTGAGACAAAAGAGGGCATCTGTCAGATGTTTTGCAAAGAAAAGTAATGGAAGAGTCACAAGTAAGTATGTGCACAGCCGTGTATGCGCCTGAACATTGGCTTGCGCCCAAAGTTGTGGTTGTGATTCATTTGTGACAAGCTCAAGCTTTGGAACTAACCCTCTCCCTCGTGCCGTTTACCTCCACACCACTGTCAGGAGCAAGCCCAGCTGACACAAGCAGACATCATCTGCCGAGGTTGGAAAGACCCATGAGCGTCGGACACTCGCCTTAAGCAGCGCTCAAAACTTAGCGCCTCGCGCGCTCCTCTTACAATCGTAAGGTTGTCAGCACCTTCTCCTCAAGGTTCAATATGACCTCACCATCATCCTCCTTGGCCTTCAGCTTTTTGGCTTCAATGTGGTAGCGCCGCGTGTCCCTATTGTGGGCCCTCTTCAAGGAGGTCACCACAAGGTTGCAAGCCTTCCTCTCTCCATTCAATGCAGCTGTCAAGAGCTTCACCTTCTGCTCAAGGTCCAGGATAACCTTCTTGTTAGCATTGTCCTCCTCAGACTTCAGCTCTTTCACTGCCAATCAACTGCATTCTGTCTCAAACTTTCCAACCTCAGCACTTTCCTCAAAAGAAGCGCTGGTGGGCTTGTACTCCTGTGTGCTTCCTTCTGCAGAAGGCAGACTTGAGTTGTTGTTGTCTGCAGTCTTGAGGTGGCTGTTGTTGCTTGATCTGACAACCTGAGAGGATGCAAAGTCATCCACTTTTCTCCTGGGGGTTGAATAGTTTGGGTGCAAATGCTGGTTGGAGAACAACTTATTGAGTGCACGGTCCCCTTCTTTGCATGAGACACCTGAATGGTCAGAGCAGCGCATGGCCCTGCTCTCTATGCATGTATATAAACCTCTTCCAGTTCTTTCAGGCAAGCTTCTACTTGTTATGAACTTGATCTCTTCTCACAGAAGTGATGAGAAGTGAAAATGCTGCATGCGCGCGCCTCAACGGCCATCACCAGTTGCGGCTACTTGTCAAAGTGAGGCGGTGCGCTTGTCGTTGGGTCTAAACCAAGCTCACGACTGGTGTGAAGGACAAGTCAAAGAAGTAGCACATTTTCAATGTCTCGGCCCAAGCAGCTATGGCGAGCGCGTGACTGAATGAAATGAGCTTGCAGTCGCCTCTCCCCGCCAACTCGGCTCTTTTTACTTCTTCGCCCTATTTCGCCCCTCACTGTCTGAGTAGCAGCGAAGACCTACGACGTCCATAAGGTACATGTCACACTCCCCGCTCAGCAGCATCGGCCATGGCTTTGAGCCACTCCCGACTCGCCGCATGGTCATCCGGAACCCTTGACTGTACCCATCCAGCTTCCCCTTGCAAAGTCTCCATTCGCACCGGCTCCCGTTTGGCCCGCTCACTCCGACTGGCAACGTGCTTCCAGAACAAGCAGCTCTCACCTCGAGTAGGCAAGAGATCGCTGCATCAACAGCATTGGCGCGACTACCGGCAACGATCACCGAGCGCTGCTGGAAGGTCACAATGAGCGTGTGCTCAGCAGCACGCTGCAGTGAGAAAGCTGCCTCAACGGCTGACGCATCCTGCAGCAACAACGGCTGCCAACATCACCGCTCACGTCTCACTTCGTTGGTGCTCGAAAACACAACACGACCGCAATGGAGATGCACAGTGACATCGTCCAAGCTCACTCCTGCTTAGCATTTAGCTTCCAAGCGGCAAGGCTCTTGACTCTCGCTCAGCATCTTCACCATCATCAAGTCTCTTCACATTCATCCAGCCGCTGATTCAACGTCCGTCCGCGACTTCCCCTCGCTCAGCTTCCCACATCCCTTCGAAACGTCCCGCATCTACCACCTGATCTTCACTGTCATGCCGCTGAACAAGGGTACCACCGACCGTCCCATCCAGCCCGCAAATCAGCACCCGAAGCTTTCGACCCCCATGAAAAAAGTGGAGGACTTCGCATCATCTCAGGCGGTCAGCAACATCAGCCACCTTGAGACTGCAGAGGACAACGACTCAAGTCTGCCTTCTGCAGAAGAAAGCACGCAGGAGTACAAGCTCACCGGCGCGTCTCTCAAGGAAAGCGCTGAGGTCGGCATTTTGGAGACGGAATACAGCGAGTTGGCCCTGAAAGAGCTGAAGTTTGAGGAGGAAAGTGCAGACAAGAAGCTCATCATGAGCCTCGAGCAGAAGGTGAAACTCCTCACTGCTGCACTGAGTGGAGAGAGGAAGGCGCGCGACCTCGAGGTGACCTCCTTGAAGAGGGCTCACGACAGGGACACGCAGCAATACCACATTGAAGCCGAAGCTGAGAAAGCCGAAGCAGTGGCACTTGCAGTCAAGACCGCTGTAGCCCAGCGCAGGGTCGAAGAGCAAGAGAGGAAGCAGGCAGCTTTGGACAGGCAGAAAGACTACTACGAGAAGGAGCTGGCCAAGTTCTCTGGCAAGACCAAATCCAGCAGCCGCGCCTCTTCCAGCCGTGTGGCCTAAGCAAGCCCATTTGTGCCTCATCAATGCGGTCTAACACAACAACAGCCCGGCTTCTGATCTGTAGGCAGCACCCAAGAAGTCGTCGTCAGGAGCAGGAACCCTTCATCGAACTCTTTCACCTTTGTTCTGGGTTAGGGTTAGTTAGGGTTTAGGGTTAGGGTTAGGGTTAGGGTTAGGGTTAGGGTTAGGGTTAGGGTTAGGGTTAGGG